TGTGTGTGTGTGTGTGTGTGTGTTCGTGTTCTCAGTCCGTTCACAACATGTCAGCTCCTGACTGGGTGACTCCTGCTGTGATGGAAATGCTCAGAGAGCTCAAAGACTTTGGAACAAAGGTAAAAGTAATAAGTTTATTTGTATAGCACTATAAAAGATTCTCAGTCATTAAGGTCAGTGTGTCTCAGCAGTTAAACATGTGGAGCAACTGGACTTGCTTGAGTTTCTTGGAGACGTTTCACCTCTCATCCAATAGAGTCGTTGACCCACCCTGCTGACATCACACGTGACCACTCATACACTGGGCATGCATGCGTACGAGCGGTTGTACCATTGTAAAATACAGAATTTAACTGCACAACAGCTGTTGGCAAAGACAACAGGATCAGTGACGCTTGTACCAAAACGTAGTAGTATGGATCTAGCAACAGAAGGCCTCTTTCCTTTTTATCCAGACAGCTAATTACCCATCCCCGACCCAACTAATGTGACCCTAATGACTCAGAGAGCGGCATGGTTAGTCCAAAACTTACAGGAAACATCAGTAATCCATATCTTGAGTCAGGGGACACCAACAACCCTCTAGTTGGCGGTGGGTTGAAACACCATTGTTAAGGTAAGAAATCGAGCCTCCCATTAGTCATTTAGCACTGAAGAAGCCTTTTTGATTGGAGGTCAAACTATTTCAACAAACACAACCAAGTCCAATTGCCTATATCCAATATATATATATTTTATTTTAATTATCATGGTCATATAAATGCTATTTTGGATTTAAACGTTTTGTAATGTAATCATAGCTTGATGTCCAATTTTCACAGGTCTTTTTTGGGGTCTACAAACAACAAGAAAAGAGCCGACTTCAAGGAGGTGTGTGTGTGTGTGTGTGTGTGTGTGTGTGTGTGTGTGACTCAGTCTCAGTGAAATTCAAATTGTTACAGCAGAGACAAAGTTAGACATTTTTTCATTGTATCAACTTCCATTTGAGCAATTTTAATGGCTCACAAATATATAGACTGATTTAAAAAAAAAAGGTCAATTAAGATCTCTGCAAAGAGCCCAGTCTCACAATGTGAAAGAAAGGGATAAAAAATTCCAGGTCAGCCCGCCATGTTCAGATCCATGACAAAATTCATGATTGTACAGCGGCTGACTCCCTTGTCACGATCTTGTCACGATCCATGAATTATTGAAATCAGTGAAAATGTCCAAAAACCATCGATCAATAGTAATGCACCAGTATTTTATACATATAATTATAATGTCTTGTCTCAAACTTTTTCCCCTTTAAAGGGTTAAAAGGATAGGTCACTGAAAAATGAAAATTGCGTCATTATTAAAATTCCTTTATTGTGCCACAACACACAAGCACTACATGCAATGGGGAAATTTACCCTCTGCTTTTAATCAGTGTGAGCACAGTACACACAGTGACCACACGGAGCAGTGGTCAGCTATAAGGAGCAGATGTTGGGGGATTAAGGTGCCTTGCTCAGGGGCACTTAGACAGTGGGATAGGGAGAGTCCATCTGTCCTCTTAGACTCTTATCAGATCCAGGTCTGGTCCATCCTTTGGTCCAGGTATGTTTTGCCAGTCCGTGGACTTGAACCAGCCAGATGTCCCTCTTTTCTAACCACTAGTCCACCGCAGCTCCCAATTATCTACTCACCATTACACTGATGGAACCCTTCTGGAGTCCCAGGGTTGTCAACAGTGTTGCAGCCAAGGCGACCTCTTCTTCAGACATAAGAAAGAAACGGAAAAAAATCATGCCTCCATAGTTCTCGAGTGGTGTCATCCAAGTGTTTGACTCGAAGCAGCGTCGTGTACACCGTGTTTTTTTTTAAACATATTTTTTATTGTGATTTTCTCATTGATTTAAACAT